GGGGCCGACTACGGGCGGCTAAGGGGCCGCGACGGGCGGCTAAGGGGGGCCGACGGGCGACTAAGGGGCCGACGGGTGGCGAAGGGGCCGTGACGGGCGGCGGAGGGGCCGGCGACGGGCGGCTAAGGGGCCGTGACGGGCGGCTAAGGGGCCGCGACAGGCGGCTTATGGGCCGACGGGCGGTTAAGGGGCCGCGACGGGCGGCTAAGGGGCCGACGGGCGACTAAGGGGCCGACGGGCGGCGAAAGGGGGGGCCGACGGGCGGCTAAGGGGCCGCGAGGGGCGGCTAAGGGGCCGACAGGCGGCGAAGGGGCCGCGACGGGTGGCTAAGGGGCCGACGGGCGGCTAAGGGGCCGCAACGCGCGCTTCGGGCAGGGCAGGAGAAAATTTCGTGGTGGGCCCTAAAAAAACGTTCCCACTAGGGAACCTGCTCAGAATACCATGTTGGAATAAGGAACGGAATGAATGAACTAGGAAGCAGGTGGGTACAAGTAGGAAACCTAAAAGTGTTGTACCCTATAAGAACTACCCCACTACAGCCTAAACAGACTATAGCATATATAAGTTTGACACACAGTGATGCCTTTCGGGCTGACCAACGCACCGGCGACTTTTTAGATGACCATGATTGAGGCGTTTAGACCACTCTTAGATAAATGTGTGATCGTTTACCTCGACGACATTCTCGTCTACAGTCGTGACAAGCAGCAGCACTTAGCCGATTTAGAGGCAGTATTTACAGTTTTAGACGAGCACAGACTACTGACCAAGGGTTCCAAGTGCGAGTTTTTCCAGGACAGGCTAGAATTTTTGGGGCACATTATTTCAGAGGCTAGAGTAGAAATCGACCTGAAGAAACTGGACACAGTCAAAGCGTGGCACCCCCTGACGAACATCATGGAGCTGCAAAGTTTTTTGGGATTTGTTAATTACGTGCGTTGGTTCGTCCCCGACATGGCACGCTTAACTGCCCCACTGAGGGACTTACTGCGGAAGGGGGTCACTATTACGTGGGGGGAGAAAGAGCATGCTGCCTTCTCTACCCTGAAAAAATTTCTCTGTTCGTCGCCCGTACTGCGCATCGCCGACCCACACCGCCCATTCGAAGTGGTTACCGACGCTAGCGACATCGCCATTGGAGCCGTACTGCTACAGGATTTCGGCAACGGTTTACAGCCCATCGTATACGAATCACGAAAGTTGCATCCGCCCGAGAAGAATTACACGATACACGATCGCGAAATGCTTGCGATCGTGCATGCATTCAAAGTGTGGCGCTGTTACTTGACTGGCGCCGACGTGACAGTACGGACAGACCATAATGTTAGAATCTGGAACGAATGAATGAACTAGCAAGCAGGTGGGTACAAGTGGGAAACCTAAAAGTGTTGTACCCTATATGAAGTACCCCACTACAGCCTAGATAGACTATAGCATATAAGTTTGACACACCCCCATAGGCAAAGTGGGGGAGAACAAGAGGTCACAAGACCAGTCAAGAAAGGCAAAGCAAGCTCAGGGTGGATCACAAAGTCACCACGCAGTCTGAGCACAAGCAAATGGCCACAAGGCCAGTTCACATGCAGAGTTATATAAAGGAGAACAAACAATACAGTGAACACAACCTAGCAAGTGTAAGCATGCAGGTATATGTATAGAGAGTACAGTACAAGCAGAGTCAAGAAGTAAGCAAGTGAGGCACAGTAGGTACAAGGCCTAGAACAGTACAGAAACGCTGATGATCACAAGGCTGAAGTGCCTTGGTGAAAACATCAGCAGTGTTGGCCTGAGAGGCCACGTAAGCAAGACGAAGCTGACCACGGTGCTTCAACTCTCGAGCAAGGAAGTAGCGCAGAGCAATGTGCTTCGTTCTGTGCTTCAGTCTGTGCTCCTGACACAAGGAAATCATGGCCTTGTTATCAACGTACAGAACTGGAGGAGAACGAGGCGCCTCTCCCAAGTCGGCCAGCAGGTAGGTGAGCCAGCGTAACTCCTGTGCAGCCATGGCCCCAGCGTAGATCTCAGCCTCACAACTGGAGCTGAGAACAGAAGAAGAGCGGGTAGACCGCCAAGAGACAGACACGGAGCCAAGACTGAAGGTGTAACCCTGTGACGACCGCTGCGTAGCCAAGTCGTCAACCCAGGAAGCGTCTGCGTGACCAGTGAGGACAACTCGAGCCCGTCCTTCAAGCACGAGCCCCATGCCTGAAGTACTGCACAAGTAGTGCAACACCCTCTTCGCAGCATCCCAGTGCACCTTTCGGTGCCTACCGGGAGCCACGTAGCGGGCCAGAAGGCTGAGAGGGTATGCGAGGTCAGGTCGTGTGCAAGTCATCAGGTACATGAGGCAGCCCACAAGCTCTGGATATGGGCCACTCGGCTCTACGGACTCGTCCAAAGGTGGAGCTGAGAGCGAGTGACCGATAGGCAGAGGAGTGGACTGTGGCGAGGAGTACGTGAAGCCGAAGCGCTGAAGGACCTGCTGCACCATGTGTGACTGAGTCAAGGTAATGGTGCGTTGTGCTCTGTCCCGGGTGATCCGCAAGCAAAGATAGCTTGTCAGCTCACCCAGGTCTGTGCACGTGTATCTCTTCTGCAGCACCGACTTCACGTGGGCGAGTGCCTCAGTGTCAGCAGTAGCAAAGACCAAGTCGTCTACGTACACGAGAACGTAGAACGGTGGCAGAGTGGTGTTAGTGCGTAAAAACAGCGACGGGTCAGCAGTGGAAGGAGCAAAACCAAGAGCAGCAAGAGACGTCCTGAGTGTGTCGTGCCACTCACAAGGTGCCTGGCGGAGACCGTAGACTGGCCGGCGGAGGCTCCACTGGGTACCAGCAGGAAACAACCCAGTGAAGCCAGGTGGGCGGCGCAGCCAGATCTCCTCGTGCAGGCTGCCCTATAGGAAGGCTGTGCTGAAGTGAAGCGAGTGTAGCTCGTAGTCACGCTGAGCGGCGACGTGTAGTAGCACCCGAAGAGTAGTCATCTTCGGGGTAGGGGAGAAGGTCTGGAAGAAGTCAACTCCCTGTCGCTGACTGAAGCCACGTGCAACGTAACGCGCCTTGAAGACAGGCGGAGAACCCGGCGGCCGCTTCACCCTGAAGATCCACATGCCACTGACGATGTTCGCCCCAGGCGGGGGAACCTCGTCGACGTAGGTGCCTGTGGACTTCCAGGAAGCCATCTCGGCGTCCATGGCTGCCTGCCACTGAGAGGAGTAGGGACCCTCTATCGCCTCTGCGTAAGAGCGCGGGGTCGGGATGTCTGGTGCATCCGGGTCTCCCTCAGGGGCAAGCAGCATGGACACGAGATGAGGTACAGCAGCGGCAAAGCACTCAAACTCCTCCTGTCTGTCCTCAAGAACGTCCGTGCCAAGAGCACACTCACCCCCGACGGACGGAGGACAGACAGACGCAGACGCAGACTCAGCAACAAGACTAGTGTCGTAGTCTAGGCGACAGGCTGCAGCAAAGTCAACAAGCTCAGCAACGAGAGCAGACGTAGCAGTGGACTCAAACAAAGGGTCAGTGACAGCAGTGGCCAGAAAGCGCGTGACAGCATGACTAGCAGTACGAAGGGAGTCAGACTCAGGGTCCGGACCGTCAGGAAGAGAGGACGCAGGAGGAGACGGCAGAGGGATACGCTGTGGAGCAATGGAAGGACGCGGTGTCATAGATTGAGTGCCAGGGACAGGAGGAGGACGCGGACGCGAAACACGACGACCAGCGCGAACAGTGCGGACAGGCGACGCAGAACGAGACTCAGGTGACGCAGGACGAGACTCAGGCGACACAGGACGCGACTCAGGCTCACGACGCTCCGTAAGACATCTAGTCGGTCCAGATTAAGGAGAAGGACTAGGCAGTGGAGAGGCCGGCTATAACTGCGACTGGGACTGGACAAGCGGTGGACTCAGTAAAGGAGGAGTAGGACCAAGAGAAGGCGGGAGACCAAGAACCTGCTGAAGGAGCAGAACGTAGTACGGCCGCGGCCGCGCAGCGCCTCCAGAAACAGCAGAGACAGCACCAGCACCCTCAGCCCCAGGGTCTCCAGCTACAACTCCTGCAGCACCACCAGTCCCAGCAGCTCAGGTATCTCCAGTACGAGCACCTCCAGGACCAGCTGCTACAGCACCTCCAGCAGCTCTAGAACCACCAGGACCTCCAACAGCACCAGTACCACCAGCAGCTCCAGCAGCTCCAACACCAGCTGCACCTCCAGCAGCTCCAGCACCAGCAGCACCTCCAGCAGCTCCAGCACCAGCAGCACCTCCTGCAGCTCCAGAAGTACCTCCAGCAGCTCCAGTACCAGGAGCACCTCTAGCAGCATCAGCAGCACCTCCAACAGCTCCAGCAGCTCCAGCACCAGCAGCACCTCCAGCAGGTCCAGCACCAGTAGCACCTCTAGCAGCTCCAGCAGCACCTCCAGCAGCTCTAGCAGCACCTCCAGCACCAGCAGTACCAGCAGCAACGCGACAACGCCGAGCGTACCACTCACAAAGCTGCTGCGGAGAGAGGGGCTCCTGCCGCGACGGGACACCCGGAGAACCTCCAGACTCAGCACGCGCAGGCTCAGCACCCCCAGACGCAGTACCCCCAGGCTCCACACGCTCAGGCTCAACACCCCCAGGCTCAGCACGCCCAGACTCAGCACCCCCAGACTCAGCACCCCCAGGCTCCACACGCTCAGGCTCAGCACCCCCAGGCTCCGCACCCCCAGTCCCCACACCCGCAGGCTCAGCACCCCTAGTAGCACCAGAGTCGACAGCTACCTCGACCGGCTCGATGGGGTCTACCTGAGACACACCTGAGGGGGCAGGACCCTGAGGGGGGAGGGGGTCTACCGGAGGAGTACCTAGTGCTAGGAAGAGGGGGGGGGGGGGGGGGAGAGAGGCAGTGCGGTAGGGAAAGAGACGGTAGTACGACACCGACTCGTCAAACGTGACGTCCTGAGAGGACAGAACACGACGCGAGGTGGGGTGGTAGAACTGCCACCCGGGTGCGTCAGGGGGGGAGCCAAAGAAGACGCAGGGAACGGCACGAGAGGACAGCTTGTCCGCTGAAGTATCGCGGACAAAAGCTCGAGATCCCCAGACACGGAACACAGACGCATCGCCAACCTTCCCCGTCCACCGCAGAGTAGGTGTGGTCTCCGGCAAGGAGACACAAGGCTGAAGGTTGATCTGATGCGCAGCGTACTGAACCGCGAACGGCCACAGAAAATGGGGAGCAGCCGCATGGATCATGGACGTACGAGCGACGTCCATGACCATGCCAATGCGGCGCTCTGCAATCCCATTTTGCTGTGGGGAGGCCGAAAGCGTGAACGTCTGGCGGATGCCCTCCGCACGACAGAAGGCCCTCAGAAGGTCGGAGGAAAACTCACCACCTCTGTCTGAGTGCAGACGCAGAACAGGAAGGTCCGAGCCGAAACTCTCGCTGAGCTGGCGACGGGCACCACGGATCGAGTCGATCAACACCTCAGTGCCGTCACCCTTGCTGCGCAAGGGGAAGACTGTGGTGTAACGCGAGTAGTCGTCAACGACCAGCAGGAAGTAACGCTCGTGACCCTGTCCACGGAAGCGGGCTGGGCCCCACACGTCCATGTGAAGAGTCTGCAGGGGAGCCTCTGTCGAAGGGAACATGGAGGAGTGAGGAGCGGCGCGCTACCGGCCCTCGACACAAGGAACACAGGTAGGGGCAGGCCCCGGAGGAAGGGGAGGAAGGCACCGGGGTAGACCCGAGACAAGGGTACGGGAGGGCATACCTCGAAGACGAGGCAGGGAGGGGTGACCAAGGCGGTGGTGCCAAAGGAGAGTCTCGTGCGACAGAGGACGACACGAGCAGGGGGCAGACGCTGGACTGGACCTGGACGCTGCAGCAAACACCTGACTACACGCAGTGACCGGAGGAGATGCAGTAGTCAGTGTGTACAGACTCGACCCAGGCTGACGGGTGAACGTGGCCAGGTGGCGGCCCGTCCAAGAGCAAGTGCAGTGGGTCACACGCTGACCTCCAGGGGTGATCTGGTCAACCCACGCGTCCTGGAGGTCAGCTCCACTCACCAAGTTCGTAGAGAACGAGGGGAGGTGGAGTCCCGACAGCAAGCCCGACGGGGCCGCAGGACACGGTAGAACCGTGGAAGAGTGCGCAAGGACTGGGCCCCCAGAGGGGTTAGCCAGGGAGACTACGACAGGCCGACTGAGCGGCGTGAGAGTGGTGCTGTCGCGAAAGAAGCACCAGAGTCAAGTGTGAAAGTGTGCAAGGCCTCAGTAGGTGCAGTACCAGAGAGAGCAGACTCACCAGCACCTGGAGCAGCAGACTCACCAGCACCTGGAGCAGCAGACTCACCAGCACCTGGAGCAGCAGACTCACCAGCACCTGGAGCAGCAGACGCACTAGCACCTAGAGCAGCAGCCTCAATGCCCGGGTCAGGCGGAACACTCAGGTAACAGTCACCCTCAGCACTATCAGTCACAGCATACATGGCAGCAAGGATAGCATCGAAATCAAGATCAAAGATAGCGACATTCTGCTTAAGCAGATCACCCCAGCGAGGGAGCTCAACAGCGTCAGGAAACTGGGCGCGCCAGGCGTCAGTAGGACGACCGAAGCAGCGCTGCGCAATGTGTGGCAGCCCGCACGTCTCCCCACAACGCCCGCCGGTGCGAAGAACGTAAGTGCAGGGACCAGCACCCCCAGACCTCCCACATCCAGCGTACCACTCACGAAGCTGCTGGGGCGACGGGGTCTCACGGGAACGCGGCTGCTGCTGGCGCTGGCTACCACCAAAGCCTCCACGCTGCGCGACTGCACCTCGACCAGCACCACCGCCGCCGCCACCTCCACCACTACTGCCGCTGCCTCCACCGCCACTTCCACTGCCTCCACCACCCCCACTGCCGCCACCGAAGCCTCCACTCCCGCCACCACCCCCACCCCCACCGCCACCCCCTCCGCCTCCTCCACCGCCTCCACAGCCGCCCCCACCGTCCTCTCCACCACCCTTGCCCCCCTTGCCCTTGCTGTTGCGGCGCTTCCCACTAGGAGCAGACGCAACCCCGAACTCCTCAGTGCCAACGAGGTCGACAGCAGCAGCAGAAGCAACAGAGGGGAGAAGGGGGACAGGGGAACACCCCTCAAAGAAAGGGGTGCGACGGTCGCCGCAAGAAGCACCTACAGCTAAGATACTCTTCTCAGCCGCAGTGAGGTGCTCCTCTAGCAGGTCGACAGTGAGCTCGGTGGGGCAAAGGGAGAGAAAGTGGTCCCTGACTGACGCAAGGGAGTCAGGGAGGCGAGTGACTAGGTAGTAAAGGGTGATGTACATGGGGGGGAGGGGGGGTTCTTGGCACAGATTTCAGTGGAAAGCGTAGCGCGGTAACAGGTGTCACTAGTACGGAGGTGGGTAATGAGTTCAGCGAATGTGGCAAAGGCGGCAAGGTGAGGGAAAAGGTACGGCAGCATGAGGCGGCTGAGGGCAGCAATGGCAGGGGAGGAGTAGCGCGCTACGACAGCGTCGTACAAAGACTTAGCAGTCTTGTACTGGCCAAAATGCGCGCGCTCAGCAGACGGCAGGTGACTACGAACAGCAAGGCGAGCAACAGCGTCACAAGTGGTCCACTGCGAGCGAACCGTACTGTCAGCAGTGGCTGTTAGAATCAGGAACGGAATGGATGAACTAGAAAGCAGGTGGGTACAAGTAGGAAACCTAAAAGTGTTGTACCCTATATGAACTACCCAACTACAGCCTAGACAGACTATAGCATATAAGTTTGACACACCCCCATAGGCAAAGTGGGGGAGAACAAGAGGTCACAAGACCAGTCAAGAAAAGCAAAGCAAGCTCAGGGTGGATCACAAAGTCACCACATAGTCTGAGCACAAGCAAGTGGCCACAAGGCCAGTTCACATGCAGAGATATATATAGGAGAACAAACAATACAGTGAACACAACCTAGCAAGTGTAAGCATGCAGGTATATGTGTATAGAGTACAGTACAAGCAAAGTCAAGAAGTAAGCAAGTGAGGCACAGTAGGCAAAAGGCCTAGAACAGTACAGAAACGCTGATGGTCACAAGGATGAAGTGCCTTGGTGAAAACATCAGCAGTGTTGGCCTGAGAGGCCACGTAAGCAAGACGAAGCTGACCACGCTGCTGCAACTCTCGAGCAAGGAAGTAGCGCGGAGCAATGTGCTTCGTTCTGTGCTCCAATCTGTGCTCCTGACACAAGGCAAGCATGGCCTTGTTGTCGACGTACAGAACCGGAGGAGAACTAGGCGCCTCTCCCAAGTCGGTCAGCAGGTAGGTGAGCCAGCGTAACTCCTGTGCAGCCATGGCCCCAGCGTAGATCTCAGCCTCACAACTGGAGCTAAGAACAGAAGAAGAGCGGGTAGACCGCCAAGAGACAGAACCGGAGCCAAGACTGAAGGTGTAACCCTGTGACGACCGCTGCGTAGCCAAGTCGTCAACCCAGGAAGCGTCTGCGTGACCACTGAGGACAACTCGAGCCCGTCCTCCAAGCACGAGCCCCATGCCCGACGTACTGCACAGGTAGCGCAACACCCTCTTCGTAGCATCCCAGTGCACCTTTCGGTGTCGACCGGGAGCCACGTAGCGAGCCAGAAGGCTGAGAGGGTATGCAAGGTCAGGTCGTGTGCAAGTCATCAGGTACATGAGGCAGCCCACGAGCTCTGGATACGGGCCACTCAGCTCTACGGACTCGTCCGAAGATGGAGCTGAGAGCGAGTGACCGGTAGGCAGAGGAGTGGACTGTGGCGAGGAGTACGTGAAGCCGAAGCGCTGAAGGACCTGCTGCACCATGTGTGACTGAGTCAAGGTAATGGTGCGCTGTGCTCTGTCCCGGGTGATCCGCAAGCCAAGATAGCTTGTCAGTTCACCCAGGTCTGTGCACGTGTGTCTCTTCTGCAGCTCGGACTTCACGTGGGCGAGTGCCTCAGTATCAGCAGTAGCAAAGATGAGGTCATCTACGTACACGAGAACGTAGGACGGCGGCAGAATGGTGTCAGTACGTAAAAACAGCGACGGGTCAGCAGTGGAAGGAGCAAAACCAAGAGTAGCAAGGGTCGTCCTCAGTTTGTCGTGCCACTCACGGGGTGCCTGGCGGAGACCGTAGATTGGCCGGCGGAGGCTCCACTGGGTACCAGCAGGAAACGACCCAGTGAAGCCAGGTGGGCGGCGCAGCCAGCTCTCCTCGTGCAGGCTGCCCTGTAGGAAGGCTGTGCTGAAGTCAAGCGAGTGGAGCTCGTAGTCACGCTGAGCGGCGACGTGCAGCAGTACCCGAAGAGTGGTCATCTTCGGGGTAGGGGAGAAGGTCTGGAAGAAGTCAACTCCCTGTCGCTGACTGAAGCCACGTGCAACGTAACGCGCCTTGAAGACAGGCGGAGAACCCGGCGGCCGCTTCACCCTGAAGATCCACATGCCACTGACGATGTTCGCCCCAGGCGGGGGAACCTCGTCTACGTAGGTGCCTGTGGACTTCCAGGAAGCCATCTCGGCGTCCATGGCTGCCTGCCACTGAGAGGAGTAAGGACCCTCTATCGCCTCTGCGTAAGAGCACGGGGTCGGGATGTCTGGTGCATCCGGGTCTCCCTCAGGGGCAAGCAGCATGGACACGAGATGAGGTACAGCAGCGGCAAAGCACTCAAACTCCTCCTGTCTGTCCTCAAGAACGTCCGTGCCAAGAGCACACTCACCCCCGACGGACGGAGGACAGACAGACGCAGAAGCAGACTCAGCAACAAGACTAGTGGCGTAGTCGAGGCGACAGGTGGCAGCAAAGTCAACAAGCTCAGCAACCAGAGCAGACGCAGCAGTGGACTCAAACAAAGGGTCAGTGATAGTAGTGGCCAGAAAACGCGTGACAGTAGGACTAGCAGCACGAAGGGAGTCAGACTCAGGGTCCGGACCGTCAGGAAGAGAGGACTCAGGAGGAGACGGCAGAGGGACACGCTGTGGAGCAGTGGAGGGACGCAGAGTCATAGAGTGAGTGCCAGGGACAAGAGGAGGACGCGGACGCGAAACACGACGACCATCGCGAGCAGTGCGGACAGGCGACACAGAACGAGACACAGGTGACACAGGACGCGACGCAGGCTCACGACGCTCCGTAAGACCTCTAGTCGGTCCAGAGTAAGGAGAAGGACCAGGCAGTGGAGAGGCCGGCTGTAACTGCGACTGTGACTGGACAGGCGGAAGACTCAGTAAGGGAGGAGGAGGACCAGGAGAAGGTGGGAGACCAAGAACCTACTGAAGGAGCGGAAAGTAGTATGGTCGCGGCCGCACAGCGCCTCCAGAAACAGCGGAGACAGCACCAGTACCCGCAGCTCCAGGGTCTCCAGTAACAACTCCCGTAGCACCACCAGCAGCAGTACCTGCAGCTCCAACGCCTGCAGTACCACCAGCCCCAGCAGCTCTAGTACCTCCAGTACGTCCAGTAGCTCCAGCACCAGCAGTACCTCCAGCAGCACCAGCACCAGCAGCACCTCCAGCAGCTCCAGCACCAGCAGCACCTCCAGTAGCTCCAGCACCAGCAGCACCTCCAGCACCTCCAGCACCAGCAGCACCTCCAGCACCTCCAGCACCAGCAGCACCTCCTGCAGCTCCAGCACCAGCAGCACCTCCAGTAGCGCCAGCACCAGCAGCTCTAGGAGCACGGCAACAGCGCCGAGCGTACCACTCACGAAGCCGCTGCGGAGAGAGGGGCTCCCGCCGCAACGGGACACCCGGAGAGCCTCCAGAATCAGCACGCGCAGGCTCAGCACCCCCAGACTCAGCACCCCCAGGCTCCACACGCTCAGGCTCAGCACCCCCAGACTCCACACGCTCAGGCTCAGCACCCCCAGGCTCCGCACCCCCAGGCCCCACACCCGCAGGCTCAGCACCCCTAGCAGCACCTAAGTCGACAGCTACCTCGACCGGCTCGGCAGGGTCTACCTGAGACACACCTGAGGGGGCAGGACCCTGAGGGGGGAGGAGGTCTACCGGAGGAGTACCTGGCGCTAGGAAGAGTGGCGAGGGGGGGAGAGAGGCAGTGCGGTAAGGAAAGAGACGGTAGTAAGACACCGACTCGTCAAACGTGACGTCCTGAGAGGACAGAACACGACGCGAGGTGGGGTGGTAGAACTGCCACCCGGGTGCGTCAGGGGGGAAGCCAAGGAAGACGCAGGGAACGGCACGGGAGGACAGCTTGTCCGCTGAAGTATCGCGGACAAAAGCTCGAGATCCCCAGACACGGAACGCGGACGCATCGCCAACCTTCCCCGTCCACCGCAGAGTAGGTGTGGTCTCCGGCAAGGAGACATGAGGCTGAAGGTTGATCTGATGCGCAGCGTACTGAACCGCGAACGGCCACAGAAAATGGGGAGCAGCCGCATGGATCATGGACGTACGAGCGACGTCCATGACCATGCCAATGAGGCGCTCAGCAATCCCATTTTGCTGTGGGGAGGCCGGAAGCGTGAACGTCTGGCGGATGCCCTCCGCACGACAGAAGGCCCTCAGGAGGTCGGAGGAAAACTCACCACCTCTGTCGGAGCGCAGACGCAGAACAGGAAGGTCCGAGCCGAAACTATTACTGAGCTGGCGACGAGCACCGCGGATCCAGTCGATCAACATCTCAGTGACCTCACCCTTGCTACGCAAGGGGAAGACTGTGGTGTAACGCGAGTAGTCGTCAACGACCAGCAGGAAGTAACGCTCGTGACCCTGTCCACGGACGTGGGCTGGGCCCCACACGTCCATGTGAAGAGTCTGCAAAGGAGCCTCTGTCGGGGGGAACGTGGAGGAGTGAGGAGTGGCGTGCTGCTGGCCCTCGACACAAGGAACACAAGTAGGGGCAGGCCCCAGAGGAAGGGGAGGGAGAGACCGGGGTAGACCCGAGACAAGGGCACGGGAGGCCATGCCTCGAAGACGAGGCAGGGAGGGGTGACCAAGGCGGTGGTGCCAAAGGAGAGTCTCGTGCGACAGAGGATGACACGAGCAGGGGGCAGACGCAGGACTAGACCTGGACGTGGCAGCAAACACCTGACTAGACGCAGCTACCTGACCAGACGCAGAGACCGGAGGAGGCGCAGTAGTCAGTGTGTAGAGACTCGACCCAGGCCGACGGGTGAACGTGGCCAGGTGGCGGCCCGTCCGAGAGCAAGTGCAGTGGGTCACACGCTGACCTCCAGGGGTGAACTGGTCAACCCACGCGTCCTGGAGGTCAGCTCCACTCACCAGGTTCGTAGAGAACGAGGGAAGGTGGAGTCCCGACAGCAAGCCCGACGGGGCCGCAGGACACGGTAGAACCGTGGAAGAGTGCGCAAT